TGTGTGTGTGGCGGCTGGCATTCCAGTGTCACAGACATCCACAGACAATGGCCGTCCTCTGCGAGGCCCCGGTGACGTTGCAGGCGCCGCGCGGTTCCGAGACATGACTACTACGTGTTGGTTCCTTCGTCCAACAAATTCGTCACAACTGAGTAAAGAACGTAGCTATGCGAGGGCAGGTGGCGGCTAGAGAGGGATACCTGATGAGGGAGAAGAGAAGGCACTTGGGCTATGCATCGACCTTGTCCTCGTTTTGCCAACGGTGCTTCCGAGACCCGGTCTGTGATTGAAATATGTATCTTCTGCTGCGACATTGCATTCGCTGACATGCAAATGCTCCGGAAGCTTCACAGGGAAAGCTGAGGGGGCCTCGCGCCAAGCAAGAGGCGACGAGGCCTCGTTCCCCGTGTTGGATTTGCTGCACAGCCTGGTCCGAGAACTCGCCGGTTCCTTAGATGAGGCCAAGTGGTTGGCGTCGTCCAAAGCCACAAAGTCAAGAGACTTGGTTAGTAGTTCAATCAGATACCTGAACCTGCCAGTCCTCCCTCTGTAGTTGTGCCGCACCAAACCAATGTAAAAAATGCCAGATTGCTCCTCGGTTAGAGCCTCGGGTAAAGGACACATTGGCTTTTTTCGCTTGGCGAAACAATCTCAACAGCTTGCTTGCTTGCTTGGGAGTTGACACAACAGGCATCTACAGATATTCCATGAGCGACCGGTTTCCCAAGTGCCGAGCCTGCCAGCAAGCTGCGCACGCCGGCCGGCCATCGGGCGGCGGTCCGATGACTAGACTGGGGTTGTCCCACGGGGAAAAACCCTTTCCGAGGCCGACGTCGCCGCTCCATGTTTGGCTCGTCGTCATCTGCCGACGCGCGCCCAAGGTGGGGGTCACGGTACAAACAGTCCTCGCGAGGTAGGGAATAGGCCGAAGGATGCAATGGACCTTCGTCCTGAATTCGGTGCAATTGCGACAGAGACGTCTTCGGTCGAAACGGGAGACGGTAACAGTAGGTTCGTACCTAGGGTCCGCCAGAGTCCCGAGCCTTGGCTCAGAGACGTGCGCTCAAGAATGCTTGCCTTGCCATATATGCATGTTCCTCGCGCCGCCGCCATCCGTAGCCACACTTTGCCAACCACGCTGCCACGTCCGCGGCTTCCACGGCATGGGTTTCGCCCCCCGATGCTGACGTTGCCACAAGACGTGCCGGCGCTGCGACTCCCTCCCGCCTGCCATTCAGAGGACCGCTTGTGGGCAGACGTTGAACCCTCCGACTGCGATACCAGGTGACCGGCGGCGTGCCGGAACCCACTGGTGTTGGTCGACAAGAGCACCGTCCGGATCCGAAACCCGGAAGGCGCAAAACCAACGTCCGTCTCCCGGTCCCCCATATCTCGACCGTCGTATACCGATCGCAACAACAGTCGACTCTGTGACGGAATGCCGCAATGGGCGTCGACACCAAAGAGCGGCTGTAGGTATCATACCATCTATTTGGAACCAACCAAAGTCTTAGGCCTTTAGTAGAAGCCACGTTGCGCCGAATCCAGTGCCGTGTTCGACGCAACGCAGTCCGCACCAAATCAGTTGTCGGGTTTCCCGTCAGTCAGCCGGCAACGGTGTTAGGCCGTAGTCGGTCGGATGCTCTCGAACCAGAGTAGTTCCCTTCGTGACACCGGACTGTAGGCATCGGCGACGGATGGCGATAGGTTTCAAAAGTGCCTACTTGGCATCGTAGACTCCTGCATTGAACGCCTTGGGGGGAGAGCTACGCAAATACCAGCCTGTCTAATCGCCAGATTTTCTTGGTCCCGGGAACCTTTTTTGCATGTGGGGTCATGGTGATCCCAGGTATCGTGATATGTCTTCCCGTCTCGGCGTGTCTATGCTCGAAAGAGAACGATCGCAACTAGGTCCAGTTCTGAGCGTAGGCTTCCTGACAAGGGCACATCGATGAAGCCTAGATCGTGATTGAAGCCCGCGGCAGCTTCGAGGCCGCCGTCTGAACGTTTGCTGAAATATGCCAATTATTGCAGCATTCTGCCGTCTTGAGCCTGTTCGACATGGCCAGGCATCGCTCCGCTAAGGTGCGTGACCAGAACGTCATTCGTTCTGGTCCATAATGCGTACTGACATCCGAGGATAACACTTCAACCTGCGTAACTCACGGCTTGTTCCCAGTCGGTCTGGCCAGCTTTTCGATCCGACGCGACATGATCCGGGTGGGCGACCTCTGTTTGGCCGGCGAAAGAGAGGTCTCCTGCGGAAGGGCCATCCATCGCCCACCAAGTCGCAAATGCCCCATCTCAAAGAAGGCAGGCCCATTGCGCCAATCTGTCATTTGGCCAGTGGTCGTTGCCGGTGCCTGGTCCACCCCGATTCATCACGAGGTAGATGCCACAGAGTTCCTGTGCTCGGAAATTCTGGCAGTCAACCAGGAACAACCTGGCATAGTGGACATCGCAGACGGTGCTTGTCTGGTCCAACAACTGCAGTCTGACGAAAAAGAAGCATGACCCCAGATTTCCTGCAAAGGACGGCTCGATCGAGGGAACACCCTTGTTTGTCTTGTAAAGAACAAGATACCACCATGGACGGATTCATGCATAATATATTCCATATCAGAACGAGAGCTCAGAACTGCCACCCCGCAAAAAAAGGTTGCTCGCGGTGCAACACCGGGTCAAACAGCCAAGCGTCGCCAGCGTGGTCCCTGACCAACCGTCTGAAAGTGTTTCATGCGTTCTGCGTAGCATCCGCGGGCGATTATTGCTGATACAACGTTGTCGGAACCTGAGACACGGAAAATGGCAATCAGTGTTTGCAATGCTGTCAGATTCCTGCGTTCGACATATGCACTTGCTGAATGATTGGCTGACGGTTAGCTTGTCCACTTCGGTCACAATGGTTCAAGTTTGGAAAGGGGAAGAAATGGTAATCATGTAATTGATTGGATATGTAGAACAGAAAGGATGCGTGAGCAGCGCCGAAATGCCGTAGGGTATACCGAGCACCAGTGCAAATTACAAGTCAATGTAGTGTACCCGGACAACCAAAAACCAATGCCGGCGCGATCCGATCGCACGCGAACATTGGAGAAATATAGACGATGACGAATGCAGCGGTGCAAATGCAGCATCGACTAATTGCAACCTCCCAGCAGCATAAAGTATCAAGAATAAGCCCCCAATGCAAATGCAAGTGCGGCGCTAAAGGGGATGGGGGAAGATCGTCGTAAACAGCAATATGCCAATTGCTTGTGAGCGAAATTTTGTCGTCGCACCTCGAAGACTCGTTCCGAGGGTATTCGTGTCGCCGTCATGAGATCGCTACCCTAACACACATATCGTCCGTCCTTTTTGGGTTGTTTTGTTATCGTTGTCGTTGTCGTTGTTGTTGCTATTGGCTTCTGCGAGTCGCCTCACGAAGCGAGAGGCAAGCTCTCTTACCGCCGGATCTCGTTGACACTGACATGGCTTGTCCTCCAATCTTGTGTAGGGCTCTGCTTGCTGGACGACCCGAAACCGGGCATCGAGGAGAAGCGGCTCAGCCGCTTCTTGCTGCGCTCGGTCTGTGACAGGATCACTTCTGTGGGGGAGGCAGGCTCGGCATGGTGGAGGGCATCGACGTGCGGTGACGTCGGCTCCTTGCTGTTGGCAGTACCGGTGGAGGAGGACCCTGTCGAAGTAGGAGTCTGGTAGACATACTCGCCGTCAACGTAGACAGCGTTGGAAACGAAGGTTGAGCGGCGATGACGGCGACGGGTGTATCGCTGCTCGAGGCGGAAGAGCTCAATCTTCTGCTGGATACGTTCCAAGATGCTGGGAGCCATTCTGAAGTCCTTGTTTGCAGAGGCTGCAGGATTCTATCTTGAGTTGATTACGGGGTTGCCCGTTTGGTTCTTACGAGGCGTTGGTGTAGAGGTGGGTGGACGGCTGGACGAGAGAAAGTCAATTCACTCGTAGAGACGACAGCTGATGTTGAGGAAGGAAGTCTGTGGTCGTGTGGCAGACGTGTGATGTAGGGACGAAAACGATCGGACGAAAAGCTTATTGAGACTGAAGGGTAGCTGGGTGGAACAAGTGTCGCAGTGCTATGGCTTCAGATGTCTCTCAGGGTGTGCTCGGCCGCTGGTCATGATTAGTGATTAGTGGCCAGGAGGGGTTTCCGGCGTGCATAACTGCTTCTGAGGGGTATCTAAGCCTGGATGCTTGCTGCAACTAGAAAGTCAGATTTGTGCAATGTATCTTTCTGAATCTATTGCAACCTACTACTAAAAGAAGGAAAGCGTTGTTTAAATTAGGCTTTTTTGCCGTTAATTCTAGCATTAAGAAATTGGTGGCCAGCGTAATTAGTGGCTAGCCTGAATGCGTAAAGTTAGGTAATACTTATAATAGCAACAACAAGAATGAATTATTACTATATTACAGTAGTAGTAGCAGGTGTTGTAACAGCAGTATTAGCTGCTGCTGTTGTTATTATTAATAATACCCCTAGTAATATATAGTAACTATAAGGATATATTTATTCTGGTGGTGTTGAGTACGTAAGGCAAATAGCTAAGTACTTTATTAACAGGTCTAATAAGTAATTTACTGCCCTTTTTTGCATAGGCAAGTATAACTTTTATTAACTAGTAAAGTAGTTACATAACAGCAAATAGGTAAAAGATACTATCTATTAGTTAGTTAAGTAGAAACTTATAGTGTTTTTATATATACTTGGTTAAGGACAAACCCAGCAAAACGCTGCCTATCTCTTCTAAATAGCGCATAGTACTATATATACTATTATTTAGAGAATCCTTCTAGCAATAGTTGCCCTCTATACCAAAGTTATTACTTAACCTAGCTAGCCGTACATATCTCCATTAATAGAGCTATTGCCTTAGGACTACTGCTTTACTAGGTATATTAGAGCAGTAGATAGTACACTTATTAAGGCCTATATACTACTAGATAACTAGAAGTAATTCTTTTGCTATAAGGGCTATATATTATAAAATGTCCTTACTATAGTTAGGTTTAATAGGTTATTTGTATATGTCTTAGTAGGAGCTAAAGGGTTAATAAATAACATGTCCCTAATAAAGCAAGTAATTAGTAGATTGTTTATAGTACCAGAGGGCTATTATTACCTTAGTAATACTAGATTTACTTGTAGCAATAGGATAGTGACTTTATACCTAGGCAAAAGGTATTACCTTAAAGAGTTTACTAAGGGCAGTGTTAGGCTAGTAACAAGGAAGGAGTTATATAATATATACTACTTAAGACTTTAGGTTATTGTTAAGAAGGTATTTAGTAAGCTTAAGCAGAGGTAGAAGATTTTATAGGCAGCTACCCCTAAGTATAGCTTTACTAACTAAATCTAATTTATATATATAATAACTGCCCTTTATAACTTTATTAGCAAAGGCAACAAAGGTAATAGTAAAGAGCTTAATAAGCAGTAGTTATTATTATTAGTAAAGGCAAATAGGCAAGTAAATAGTATAGTTAGCAAGAAATCTAGTATAGAAATTCACTATAATACTGCTATATAGGCATAGGAAAATTAGGCAAGTTATCTAGTAGTATATAATAATTAACTATCTAATAATACTAACTTCTTAAAGAAATTCTTCTTTACTATTAACTAACTTTATTACTAACTAAGCAATAGCTATATAGGGCAACTTTGTAAAAAATAATATAACTTTTACTATAACCTAACTATCTAACTTGCCTTCAAAGAGCTACTAATAGTCGTTAATTACCTTAGTTATATTGTTAGATCTAGGCTCTTATAGTATTACTATTGTTATAGCCTTACTTAACCTACTAAGGCCTTGCTTAATAGACTTACTAAAGGATATAAGGGTTTTATGTCTTTTTTTTCTTACTCTTGTTATTTTTTGCTATAGCAGTTACTATAAGTCCCCTACTAAATTAGACATTAGTGGTAATGAAGAGATAGGGTTTACATCTGGATTATACTTATCCCTCCTCCTCCTATATTTAACTACTAACTTATTGTCTTCTTTAGGTTTATCTTCTTTAACTACTTATAAATTATTTACCTTACTAGCCTTTGTAATATACTGCCTAGTTGCTACTTCCTCTGGCCATAAGTCACCTATCTTATCTATATATAGGAAGCCCTTGTGGCAAATAGATTTTAGGCTAAGAAATTACCTCTTAAAAGCCTCCTAGCTCTTGTCTAACGTTATAATAATACTGCTGTTATTATTGTACTTAACCCCTAAGTAAATAAGGGTCTTAACTTTATAAAAGGTAGCTAACAGGTAGTAATACTTTATATATAAGGTAAGTATAAATAACTATAGGTTAACTTTGTTTATTTTTAGTAGGATATTTGCTATTGCTTACCTTACAACTAGCCCTCTTATACCTACTAACACCTTGTTGTTAACTTGCTACTAGTAAAGCTAAAGAAAGAGTAGTATATAGCTATAGTCCTATATAGCTTGCACTTGGCTACTAGGCTGCTTTTACTTCTTTGTTAGTGGCCTTGTTAATAGCAGTAGTAGTAGTAGTAGTAGTTATACTAGTAGAGGTAGTGATAGCGCTAGGGATAACTTAGACTATTGTATATTACTACTTCTATTACTATTAACTATATAAGGCTCTTTAAGTAAAGACGTTATAGTAAGCATTAACAAGTGGTTATTTTAGCTATAAATCTAATAATAAGAAATACAGACTTTAACTTTTTCCCTTGCAACTACCCCTTAGCCTTAACTTTCACGATGATATAACATCACGAACCTTTGACTATTCGAGCAGGCGGTGAGCTGGCCACAGGCTAACCCACTTCAGCAGTACAACGAGCATAAAGTTGGGGTAGCACAAGTAACGAAAAGTCCCTCCTGGCCACTAATCACTAATCATGACCAGCGGCCGAGCACACCCTCAGGCGACTCGAATGTGACATGTACGTTCCCCTTTTCTGTTGTGACCTTTACACACGAATCTCGTGCTAGGTAGTGTCGATTGGGCCGGAGAGGTTCCAAATATAGGAGCTACAATCGGGTCCGTATTATTCTTTTGTTGTAATTTGGCAAGGGCACGCTAAGAGCAGATTGTTGTATGTGCTGTGAGTCGGTGCGGGAGCGAAGGAGTGAGAGGAAGTCAAAACGCCAGGCTTCGAGGACCTCGTGGTGGTTTATGTTGATTAGAACGAGTGGACTGGAGGAGCTTATCGGAATGAGGGTGTGTGTGTGTGTGTGTGTGTGTGTGTGTGTGTGTGTGTGAAAGAGGGAGGAAGAGAGATAAAAGAGGTTGGTTGGAACAGAAAAGGACTTGACTGGTCGAACCGATGGCCTGTCCCTTGAAGATTTGACGAGGGGTGGGTAAGCCAAGGGGTGTGTGGGTGGCGGAAAGAACGAGTGATGGGGAGACAAGGTCAGGGGGGTATGCAAGAAGTTTCGAGTCTAGAAGACGAGAAGGGAAAGAAAAGGAGGGGGAGCAAGAGCCAGACAAGATTCGACAATACAAGCAGGTGCAAGTGCAAGTGCAAAGTAGGTACAGAAGGAGCTGAGCAGAAGGCGAAGAGCAGACGCAGGAGCTGCAGGTGGACGCGAGCTAATTGCAGGAACTTGATGCATGGATAGGCTAGGCCAGGGTGGAGGTATGGTATGCGGTGGATTCTGTCGTCTTGGGTTTGGAGCAGAAGAGTCGGGGACGATAAGCATAGGGAGGCAGGCTGGCTGGCATCTGGATCGAATGATAGCGCTCGGAGGCACAAAAAAAACCCCCCATGATACCTTTTTCCCACCACAATCACCAGCAAAAACAAAGTATTCTGTTTTCGTCAGTCGCTCGAGTGAATGGTTGGGGAAGCGAAGGCGTGTTGCGTTGGAATGACCCTTGCGACTGCCCGCCCGCCCAAGCATGGGTTATGCATGGAAATGTCACCTTCGCGCAGGTGCCACTGGCGCTGCTTTCCCAATCCAGCCCAATCCAATCCAATATGGTCAATCCACCTCTTCAGAAGCTACACTAGAAGGAAGGCGCGGTCCCCAGATAGACCGGTTTATGTCTCGCTGCTTCCCTGCCGCTCCCCTCCTTCCAGTTACTGCGTATCCTTCCCCCCCTCTGGCCAAGTTCTCGATCGAGGAGGATCCACTCTTCAGTTGAGACCCGGATGCCTAGGCCCCACACTACTCACGCAATTTCAGCCAACGAGATGGAGCCGGTGCCAGGTCTTCCCTGCCTCGCCATGTGCTCTCTTGCCCTTTCCCTTTGCCTTTGCCTTTCCCTTTCTCTTCCTCTTCCTCTACGGACGTTGCTTCTCGTTCTTGTTCTCTGCAGGCACCGGGTCTTGTTCCTCCCCTATGAGCGGGGAGCGGGCTTCTCCCTCCTCCGCTCGTTTCCTGCTTTCTTGCTCAGAGGAGGAAATTGGCGTTGTTTCCCACGCCGCTTGCAATTGCATTTCCAACTTTTGCCGGCGCCTTTTACTTTTCTTCTTCTTCTTCTCTTTTCTTCTTCTTTCTTTGCCATTGACCTATCATTTAGTAGTTGTGTTTTACCAAAAAGCACCCACACCTGACTGCCTCTTTGTCTCTCCGTCATTGTTGCCAACCGTTGGCGACTAGCGCCCAACCTGGTGTAGACGTGGGTTTTCCGTTTCTTCTTTCGCGTGGTTCCCGTCTTGGCCCGTTGACGAAAGAAAACAAAAACCACAAATCCATCTATCTATCCATCCACCCATCCACCCATCCACCTAGCCCGCTCCACCCCCAGCTCCAGACACGACCAGCCAGCACATAAACACGCACACACTTCCTCCCACTCAACTCGAACGTCTTGTCGTTTACAACGCTGGCTAGACCGCACTAAGTTGAACTAAGCCCAAAATAGGTTGCTCCACGATTACCAACTGACCAGCTCTATGGCAGACGGGCTTTGACCTTGCGCCATGTTCCCTCGTCCCACGTCAATTTGTCAGTCAGTCAGCCGGTCGTCCGTCTCGCCATCTTACCGGCACTCCCGTCCCTCCCTCTCTCTCTCTCAGGAAAACTTCAACCTTCAGCCTCCCAAAAGATGGAAGAAGTCAATACCCCGAACCCACCCATGCCGCCATCGCTGTCACCGTCGTCCGTGACCCGACACACACTTCGTGTTCCGTCTGTCCTGCCTTGCTGCTCCGAGTCCCTGTGCCTTCGCCACCGGGTTCTCCTGAACCATCCCATTCGTCGTTACATCGCTCCAAGACCAATCGGTGGGACTTCCAACCAGGGCTTGGTCCGGCACGATCCCCGCTCTCGGGTCCTGTGAAACTGCTAAGCGATATTGCCTTTTCGCCGCCGGGACAACTGCCCTGACCCCGTCGGCAGCAGTCATTTGCGACGATGACAGCGACAACGATGGCATAGAATGCACTTGAGCCATAGACCGACCAAGTGGCGTCGCAAGTTGCATGGCGCATCGCTCTCCGTTGATGCTGCGCTGGACTAATCTCGGGGTACTCTAGTGAGATCTGCTAGCCATTCTGTGTCACCGGTATAGCTTAAAGAAGCGAGCCTTGTTCTCGTCTCTCGTGAGGCTGTCGAGGTCAGCAGGATTGACGGATAAAGCCTGTCCCGGCCACGACATAGCTGTAGCCGCTTCATGCCAGCTTTCGTTGGCCCTCTAATGTCTCTCTCATGCTGCTATGGAGTACTTGAGATGCCAAAGCTGTCAAACACGTATCATGTCTAATGGATTAGTCGCTAACTTCTCTGCGTTTGATGAGACTACTCTGTGCGCGAGATGACTTGAGCGTTAGCTCAGATCGAGCAATAGCTTATGTTACATAGTTGCTTTTTAGCGCATTGGAATGTTCTACAGACACTCCTCGCGCAGATGGGGTCGGCAACGGCACTCGTACTAGGCCACAGAAAGCAGCGCCGAGCCCGAAGGATTTGTTGTTGACCGGTGGCCCTCGGTCACGACTACGGCCGAGCCCCCACCGCCGGCCTGCTTGTATCCCGACTGGCTGTACTTGTCGGCGGCCACGAGAGTGGAGACGTGCCATGTTTTCAATAGACACTCCTAGAGACCGTTCCGCACAGCATTAGGGGCGGGGTAGGAAAGGCCAGTCAAGGCAACAGGAGTCCGGTTGGGCATTGTGTCTCTCCAGATGAAGAAGTGAAGCTGTTGGCAAGGGGTTCACGCTCAGCGAGAGCGGATGTCAATTTCCACAAATCGGAAGGACGAGATATTGGATCGCAGAGAAGAACTGAACGACTCGTGATCGTGAGAATCACCTAGCCCACCGCGTTCTGGCTATTTATATCTGACCCGAGCATATCATATTTTTAGAAAGTTGACTTTACCTTGAAATTTATATTATTGGAAGCACCGTTCGCTGACAAAGATAATCCATCAGCACTAAGGGATGCCCGTTGCTTTGTGTTGAAATGCAGCTGGCCTCTCCCAGTGCTTTCTCCGTGACCTTCATGTCTCTCCATCCCATTCATCTGACGGGCACTCGTCGAGATTTTCCCCAAGTCCCTTGAAACACTCCCTCAAGAACTCCAAAACCTCGACATACTCTACACCCACATCCTTCCTTTCAGCCCCTTGCTTTGCGTAATCCAGAGGCGACATGTCAAGCGGCCCAAAGGGTCGCCGCAACGATCTGATATCGACCCCCCGGCGGGCGGCAAGGATCTTTACCACATCCACCCTAGCCTCCATCACGGCATTGGCAAGTGGCGTGGCCCCATCATCCGCCGCCGAGTCCGGGTTGATCTCCGAAACCCCCAGGGCCGCTTCTATCGTCTCCCGGTCGCCGTAGCGAGCAAGAATGTGCAGCGGCGTCTCGCCGTTCTCGTCCTTCGCGTTGATCAGCTCTCCGGGCACAATGGAGAGAAGGGAACGAAAGAGGGGATATCTCCTATGGGACGCCGCCATGTGCAAAGCCGTCTGTTCTATGCCGCAGACTCTGACGAACCTGACGCCCGGATATCGCGCTAGAAACTCGGCCGCGTCGCCGACCTCCGGGTAGGCAATGGCCAGGGACAGCGGAGTGGATCCCGACTCGAGCGTCTCGCAATTGACGTAGTCTAAGTCATGGCGGTTTGCCGACAGGATAGCCTCGACCACGCGCGCGTGCCCGTGAAGAGCGGCGACATGCAGCGGCAGCATGCCGTTTCGGTCCCGGACCTCCTCCGCCGGCGCGATACCCGGGTGCGAGCGCAGCTCCAGGTAACAGTCGCGGCACCCGACCGCCGCTGCGAAGTGGAAAAGGGAGAAACGTCTCCCTCGGACCCAGTGCGGTGTCTTTACCCCGCGCACAACGAGTTGCCGGACAACGTCCGGCCTCCGGTCCAGAATTGCGGCGTGCATCAGCGAGAGGCCCTGGTTGTCCTTCTCGTCGAGGCCGACGGCGGCAGTCAGAAAGGCGAGGTGGTCGAGGGCCCATCCCTGCGCCGGGATGGAGACGAAGTTGCGTGGCGCAAGGCCGAGCCCGGCGCCGTTCCTCGCGGCAATGTCGTGGACCCAGATTTTGACATAGCATGTCGGCTCGCGGTAGTGCTCGCCGCTGTCGAAGAGCAGCGGCCCGAACACGGAGCACGGGAGGAAACGCGCCCACTCACGGCCGAACCCTTGCTCGACGTGGGACCATTCGTGTAGCCCGAACCTCCTCATCAGGTCTTCCGAGTACATGTCGCCGGCCAATCGAGCTAGGCGCCCCAGCGCAGTCTCCTCTGAGTCGAGAGCCCTTGACCGGAAGAGCAAGTCGCGCACTTGCGCCCACTTGGACGGCTTCTCTCCACCGCGGCTTGCCGTCGCCGGACGCCGCGGCAGATCGCCGTGCAGATCGATGAGCGCGGTTTCGAGGACCGCTCTCTCTGCCGGGCAAAGAGCCCCCACTCCGAGGCGTGTTTTCAAGGCCACGGAGAGCCTGTCTTTAAGAAGAGGCAGGCTCAGATGCAGGCCCGAGACGTACGGGACCTGGAACCGCCCCTCAGGCCCGGGGCCTTTGAAAATGCGAGTGTTAAGTGTTCTCTGACTGTGATGAATTTCGTACTCGCTGTTGAGGAGCTGGACCACGATGAGGATGTTCATACTATTTCGTCATCAGCTTGTACGTGCTTCACGGGGGGACCACACGTGCGTGTGAGGGGAGGCGAAGCTTTCAACTTACACGTCCTCGACGTCCCATGTCCCACGAGGGGCTTCGCAGCTGTGTCTTGGAATGACGGGAGTATTTGAGACAGTGATGACTGCATCTTCGGGCCCCTCTTGGTTCGTTGCCGGTCGCCTGGCTCTCCGCTTGATCTCTCCGGGCGAGCACTCCAGCCCCTTGGACAGACATCGGTCGCACTTTTGCGGCCACGTTCGAGGCTGCGGGGTGCACTGATCAAGTCACCGGGACCATCGTCAGAAACTATGTTGCAGGAGACACATGGAAAGATGGAGGTAACAAAAATGAGGGTCTTTACCTTCAACTTGTGTTGTCTGCAAAGCTGACACTTCTCACTGTCGAGTTTCCGCGGCGTGCCTTTCCTTTTTCTGGATATTGCGTAAGTTTCCTCGGCTCCAGACAGACGGCTGCCGAATAGTGATCTGCTTGCTGAGGGATTCGAGTGACTTGTAAGATTACGCGAAGAAGGTCGGAGGACCGGCGAATCTACAGCCCTCACCTCATCCGTGTCGCTGGATGTGAGCTCCATTCGCGAGTTTCAAAGTATTCTTCCCAGTCCGATTGCCTGCGCTGGATTTAATGAGGAAAAGTACGGGCAGCGAACAAACCGTCGCGAGATAAGGTGATGATATTTGTACGCGGATCAACCAAGCTGAGCTAGGCTGTGCGAAAGGTTGGTCGCACCTCGCATGAAGGGGTGGGTAGTCGGTCAGCGAATAGAAAGGCCGTCGCACTTTCACTGCAATTTATGCACAGCCATCGCATTTAATCGCAGCTCATCGCACCTACATCGCACTCACATCGCACTTGGGTGTTGGGTCTGTCAATGGCATGCGATATACCCAAATAATATTGCAGGCCACATTGATTGAAGGCCCGGGAGCTATCAATCATTGTTCTTTTCGCATGTGAACATATTGTCGACCCTCCTTAATTACATTACTACCATATATATAAGACAGACGGGTGACCAACATGACTGTGATGCTCGCCATACCAATGATATAGTACATAATATAACATCATTGACAAGATAATGCCTTAGCTAGGAGAGTTTACATCTTCCAATCTGCTATCTACAAAATATATTGCCGCATGAGTGTTGACCGCAGATTACCTTTTCGCCTCCCTTCTCTAACTCATTCTTCGTGAAATGTCCAGAAAACATCAGCGACAACTGATCTTTTCCCGGCTTATGCGCTCGCTCGATGTTTGGAAACTGGGCCGCCTGTCCACATGACTTGCGTAATGGCGGTCACAAATGTGACCAGTCCTAAAGTCCAGCTAACAGTGCCCCAACCGGCAGCATCGCGTATCATTCCACCAATGATGGGGCCAAGCAAGGCACCTCCCGAGAAGGCCATGTTGTACAGCCCATAGGCCTGTGCAAAGGAACTTTGCGCCGAACTGGGCATGATCTCCTCAACCACCCAGGTGATTTCTGCCATCAGCGGGCCCAGCACCAAGGCCATGGCGATGCCCACCCCAACAAGCAAGACGCACAGGATGGCCTTTTGCGACAAGCTGTCGCCGTCCACAAAGCGAAGGCAGATCAGCAACGGCGTTTCAAGCAGAAACCCAGAGCTCGACAGTAGTTTGGCACCCCATCGGTCGCAAGCAACGCCGACCAAGGGGCCGAGTAGCGAGGGCGAGACCAGCGGCAGGAAGATCAGACCAGCACCGACAGAGTCCCAACGAAATCTTTCTGAGACAAAAAGGGGCAGGGTACTGTCGAATGATGTCGTGACCATGCCGTGGGCGAGGGTGCCCCAGAGGGCAGCAAGAAGACGCGGGCTCCGTAACAAGATGAGAAATACTGGCTTGAGGCTTGGTTTGACTTCTTGAGGTGTTGGCCCAGTTGTCTGGCCGTCGTGGACATGGTGCTCGTCATCTAGAGCAATCCCACCAACACCTATTTGAACATCACCGAACCGCGCTTCAGCTGTCTTGACGTCGATAGCCATCAATCTCATCACAGTATCAACTGCTATAAGACCGAAGCACATGGAAAAGACGGCATAGTAGCCGCCAGCGCTGTATACCAAGCCTCCTAGCATCGGCGACGAAAGGATACCCGCGCTCATGGCCATTCCAACCCATCCCATGGCTTTCCCAATGTTATCACTGCTAGTGGCATCGACGATGAGGGTGAGGCCGACCGTCCAGACTAGAGCAGCAGATATGCCTTGCAAGCCACGACCGATAACGAGGAGGGGGATGTTGGTTCCCGCACACAGAAGTGCCGTCGCTCCGCCCAGAAGCAAAAGACCGGCAACCATTGGCAGGCGGCGAGAAGAGATACGGTCGGCAAGGTAGCCCCATATTGCTGCAAGCGTCGGTTACACGAACGATTCCGTGGGTGTCATGTGTGCTACTCGAGGGGAAGCTTACGCGAAGAGATCAGAAGAGCGGCTCCATACACTGCGAGGAGAATCGAGACCCAGAACTGCACTGCGCGACGTAAAGATTCCGTCAGTCACGGCCGCAAGCCGCAGAAGTTTATGCTAGCTGAGACTCACCTTCGCCTTGGCCGATCGCCACGCGGTAAGTCAATGCGAATGGAAGGACTGGTACAATTAAACCGTAGAGGAAGACATCCTACGTGCTTGCATCAGCACCAAACAGGTGAGGATGGAATCCCAGCACGGTCAATACTGTAAAGACCGCGAATGCGACTGTGACGATGATGGACACCACAGAACTGCGGTAAGTAAATAAGGAAGGGACACGTCCCCGAGCGGCGGTTTCCATTGTCAGGACGCAATGCTGGCGAGCACGTTTTGCGATACAATATTGACAACGGAGGCCAACATATATTTCAAGGAACAGATGGACCAGCGCAAGGAAAGAAAGTAGTGTAGCCAAGCAAATTAACTTTTGCCGAGTACTCGCTATCTAACCGCGTACTATTCTGTAGGGTAATTTTGTCATGTTTATGATGTAATAACCTATGCACGAATATCTGGAAGAGGAAAAGCAGGCCAAGAGTCTTGGCTGGCATGCATCAGTCGATTGATAGTGCTGCCGCCATATCCCCGCTACTATGCCATGCCAAGCTACACGTGCCTCAGAGGAAGCTGCCATAATCGTCACGAAAAAGTAACCATGTTTAAAGGGGATGAATATGATGCCTCGGGTTAGGACTGCTCGAAACTTGGCCTCTCAAATGCGATGATATTTGCTTCATTTCCTTGGGGAGTTGCTGATACGAGGATCCCAACGTAGGGTTTGGTTTTCCCACATAACCTTTACTGGCTGCGACCGAACAGGTGTCATGATTTTCGTTGGTGTCACATACGGAGTGAACGGCTTGATTCTCCGCTGGGCCTCCTCTGTCATCGGGCAAACTAATAAGAAGGCCGCTGCCATTGCTATGGCCAACATGCTATAAAATGCGGCTAACAGTTACACCCTGTATCTCTGGCCTGATTCAGCCTCTCCTGGCTTTCTTATTGCTATGCTTGCTAGTATTGGCTTATCCTTTGGCGTTATTATCTGGGCATGAGTTATGGAGTTTGCCCTTGTGTGCACTAACCGCAACAAAGGAGAGGCAGACATGGATATAACTGACTTTCACGTCTATTACATTGATAGCGAGAATCAAGGATTCTTGATTGCTCATAAAATCATGAATGTAGAACGAAATGCATATCGGTAATCTTCACAGGCCGGCGACAGACAGGGACAAAATAAGGTTGATAATAGATACTAGTGCTTGGCGAACATAAGCAAACTCTTATTCTTCATGAATCCGATATCCATTTTTGGCCAAGTTCTTAACTCTAGCCTCATCTAGTCATTTTGCTATTGTCCAACCCCATCAGGCGGAGGCTTGTGTGGCAAGAGCTCCGAGTGTGATAGTCGAGCAGGGAGCATCATAAACTTCTGGCTTCACAAATTGAGGCTCGGGATCGTTTTCGACTGCGAGCAAAACCAGAGACTCCTCGCTTGGGTCAAACCTCGGCCAGCCAAAAACAGAGCTCAGCCCTTCCAGTGGGTCGTTGGCGAATGTAGCCCAGACTTTCTGCATGAGTGTAGTGGTCTGCTTCTGAGGGTCCGATGGCGCGATACCGCTCACATCCTCTGATGCACCGAATATCATGTGTAAATCGACGCCGTGGTATGCACCACTGGTGGGAAACAACCGGGTGTTGTCCCAGTCACCAAAATAGCGATAGACCCATGTTGAAATCCCTCGCTCACGACGCGCTTCTGCTTGATAGGAGTTCGGGCAGGTAAAGGACTCGAGGAGGAAAGATGCAACTTGATCTGAAGTTGGTATAACACCATTACCGTAGGCGGGTATCCTATAGTAGCCGTCCTCGTTGTTATTATTTCCAAACAGGACAGTCTACAAAGTTAACTCCAGTTTTTCGTCACGCAAGATCAGGCTGACAAAATAAGACATACCAGACTTGAAAAATTCCCGGCTCTCGTCAAAGACACGTAATCTGGGAACACAATATCATTGTCAACCGTAGGGTAGAACGGCGGGATGCTTCGGAGGACGCTGCTGCTTGACGATGGGCGTACAGCAGCCGCAGCAGCTTTGATATCTTCCCACTTCCGTGTGCGCATACATCTCATGATATCAGTAGCGTTCAGGCAGTCGACTGCCGCTGCGACTGACTTCCAATTCCGCTCCGGCACTCCCGGGCCGTTGAGCGGGAAGCTGAAGGCGTTGCCTGAAGGCGTAATTAGACCAGTGGCGATCGGATCCTCCGCGTAGGCGTAAGACCAGTAGTCAACGGAGACGCCACCAGAAGACTGGCCTGCGATGGTGATCTTGGTGGGGTCCCCGCCAAACCCAGCGATATTATCGCGGACCCATTCCACAGCAGCCCGTTGATCTCGTAAGCCGAGGTTTTGAGGTTGCCCTGGAGCTCCCGGAAAGCCGAAGATGTTAAGGCGATAGTTAACAGTGACTACTACAATATCCTGGGCCGCCACAAAATATTTTCCGCTATAGAAAGGACTGTTGGTGTTACCAATTGCGAAGCCTGCGTACCATGTATTAGCACCTTTTTCTTATCTCTTTCAAGTATCTTTGCCAAAATCACTCACGTCCGCCGTAGAAGAAAACAACAACGGGGTTCCTGGAAGACCGAGTTCCGTTTCTGGATCGTCTGGTCCAAATATTCAACGTCAAACAGTCTTCGCTCTGCGGCGTTCCGGCAGCTGATGCGAAGTAGTTGATGATCCTGTGTGCCTGGGGTGTCATGTCTGGATAGTCAATCTGGGGTGAGGGGGAAAGAGGGCAATCGAAGCCAAACTTGGACGCATGAAAGGACTGGTTGTTGGTGAACGGCTCCGGCGGAGCGAATCGCAAGCGGCCGATAGGAGGCTTGGCGTATGGAATACCAAGATACTCTAGCACATTGGAGCTGTTCGACGCCAGATGGCCCGTAATGGGCCCGTTTGAGGTCTCTACCGTAAGGAAGCTCAATAGGTTTTCTCCTTGAGTTGGTGAACCCATTGCCAAGCCTCCGAAGAGTGCCAAGTAGGCAAAGGGTGACACTAGAGTGATAATGATTCCCATTGTGCTGTCACTGCTGTGAGGCTTGAAAATATTACTAGCTGAAAAGTGTATGGTTTCCAACATTCGAGAGTTGACCGGTTTTAATCTCCTGCGAAGCGATCCATTCATCGCTCTCGCTTACTGAGCCACACCAGTGCTGATCTCCCATATGATTACGCAGTTGGGCGGACCTCCACCAGCCGATACAAGTTTCCCATGCTCGCGTATTCGCGCCACTAAGCTGTGCAAGGGAAATAAGACCGCCGCTAGATCGTTTGTGTTGTGGATCGATTGTTCTGATCTTGCCACAGGGCGCGACAAATCATATACACCACACCGTCTAACCCTTGAGTGCCAAGACCACTTCCAAGTGCTCTGTTTTTCATCAAAAGGGTCGGCAGAATCAAGTTGTTGCAAGAGGTTGCAATATATCTCACACCCTTGTGTTTCTTAACCATGCCAAACAGAAGCAAATAACCAAAAGGTTTTACGATAAGCCAACGATTACACTGAAGCAGCAAATTCCTTGAGTTGAGCTTCTGTCTACTAAGTTTGAATATCGCTAAACACGGCCGCTAAGGTCACGTCTGTCTATTGCAACGCCACGCCGAAGGGTTTTCTTGTTGCTTATGTAGAGTGTTTCCGACCTTGGTATTTCATTCCGTAAAACTACTGACCTTCTGGTGGTTGAGAGCACCACCTTCAATCTAACTCCTCGCAAGACGCGGATAAACTCAGGGAGACAGTTGTCTGTACTTGTATCGTTCAACCAATGAAGCCCATCTATGATGCAAAAGACAGGACCAGGCATTGAATTTGCAAGGTTGGTCAATACAGAAAGGGCTGTGCGCCAACATTGGATGGTTCCATCAAGGGAATTGAACTTTTCAGCCGAGAAATCTGAGGACGCTTCGAACATAGGCGGTAAAAGCTCTACCAACTGCCTGATAATCGAGTAGACCAGACCGACCAACGATTGTTCTTCTTTGCTGTTATTCCCAAAACGTAGTTTCTGGCCCCGCCGAAGTTCACAAAAGTGCGATATTATGGGGGTCTGCGATTGCTCGGCCAGAAAAATGACTTTGGCAGCTACCATTGTAATCGGATTGTCGAAGTCGTCGCATTGCACAGGCTCGCCATTGAGCCATAGTAAGTTGGGTGCGGGCGCTTTCGCCCATTCACTGATGTTCTTGAGAATCTCTGGGCTGGCCATGACAGGACTGAACGAATCGGCAGGTAAGCGAACTCTGTCTCTGTTGAAGCAGTCCTCTAGAAACCGTGAGTTCAAAGCTACTTCTTCAGATGTGTATGTGACTAAACAAGGAATAGTCAGCTATAAGTTTACGAAAAGCTTTCACTTAATCGTTCTGAGACCTTTGATGCTTGGCTGGACAAGTGAAAATGCCACAGCTGGTTTGAGATGTGGTTGTCGTGATAGATTGTGCATGCCGCGTGCATTCTCTAGCCAGCCCAGGGCTCTGTCCTCGAGTAAATCCACGATACTGTCGGCAAGCTGTTGCCGTTTCTCGAAGCTCCAATTCTTCGAATTTCGCTGCTGATCTCCTCTTATTCTCTCAGCGTGATTTATCATCTCAGCTTGGTGCCGTCTCTCGCCCTCAAGACCGACGCGTACATCTCTTGCAAGGTCCTCTAAGGTTAACCTTATAGATCGCGCCTCGGCTCGTGAGCCTTGTTCTACTAAACTGCGGATTTAGTTTATTATATTTCTTATTTTCTCTATATCATCCTCAAAAACAGTAGACAAGTCCTTGTTAAACAAGTAAAGTAGACGTTAGCATCTTTTCTTTATTATCTAGTCTATAACAGTTATTAAGAAAAGAAAGATATAAGAATATAAGTCTATAATAAGCTTTTATATATCTTCTGTTTAAAATAGCTCCTATTTAATTATATAATTACTTATATAATTATATTAAAAGGTAACTAAGACTATAGGCTAAGATAGCTATACTAATTATAGCTAAGAGGCTATAGAAGCCACTAGGGCTAGGCATAGACTAGTAAGAGTTATATAACTAGGAAAAGGTCTATAGAGGATTTAAAGGTAATACTACTAAGAAAGGCCTTACTATAGTTTTTTATTCTCTTTATCTTAGAATCTTTACTTTAGGTAATATAGTTATAAGTTATTTAACTTTAGGTATTACTACTATAATACTATTCTAAGATCTTCTCCTTATTCTCTAAAGAGAAAAAATAATATCTTTTTTATACTATTAAGCCTTAATTAATAAGTACTCTTAAACCTTATTTATTATATTAATATATACTAGTTAGTAATATACTTACTAAGTAAACCTTTTTTTTATTAAGGATAGTCTAACTTATAAGTACTAGTAGTTTTACTATTTTTAATATAAAGACTTTTACTTTTATAAAAGCCTTACTAGCTAGCTACTATAGTACCCTTATAAAAATAAATAATAAGACTTTACTAAAGTATTATAAGGTAACTAAGACTATAAGATAAAATAACTATACTAGTTATAGCTAAAAGGCTATAAAGACTACTAGAGCTAAGTATAGACTACTAAAAGTTATATAACTAAGAAAAGGTTTATAATAGATTTAAGAATAATACTACTAAGAAAGGCCTTATTATAGTTTTTTTTCTCTTTATCTTAGAATTTCTACTTTAGTTATATTATTATAAGTTATTTAACCTTAGTTATTACTACTATAATACTATTCTAAGATCTCTTATTTATTTTCTAAAGATAAAAAATAATATTTCTTTTATATCTTTAAGCCTTAATTAATAATTACCCTTAAACCTTATTTATAACACTATTATATACTAGTGTTATATAGAATATTACTAACTAATACTACCTTCTAGAATAGCCTTACTTATTAATCTAACCTTTGCTCCTAAATATAGATACTTATAGTAGAATTTACTAAGTAAGGTAATATTTAAGGAATATAGATTATAGCACTATAGATAAAAGAAATAAGCTACTTTTAACTATATAAATTACCCTTTAAGTATACTACTTAATAATAGTTATAAGCCTAGCTCTAACTTAAT